TGTCCTCTTAATATCTATGCATAACTTAAAAAAAATAGGGTCTCTCGTCCTCCCACTTTCCGCTCTCACTCTGCGATTTGTTGTCTTGGTTCGTTGTTGTTCACCGATGTATTCATCGTGATATGCAAGTGCGTGAAAATGTTTGCTTATGCTGCACTGTTCTTCTGTGTGAGTATGTTTTGGTACTTTACTGGCTATAACTCGTTGTAAGATAGGATCTGGTAAGTTGCTGACAAATATTTCAAATTTGTCATCGAAATTATTTCATGAATCAATCTTTTTGTACCATTTTATTCCCCAAAAATGAATTTGGATGTAAACCACTCGATCAATGATTCATAACTTTCATGTTTCACACTTGTTCATGTAATTTATTTTAAATCACATTATGCATCATGTTTTAAGCATATCATATTGTGTGTCCTGTTGTGTCTCATCTTTCGTATCATGTTGAATTTCATCGTGTAATGGATCTCGTTGTGCACTGAATGTGTGTCATTTTGTTAAGGGATAAATTTTACATTTGCTTACAATGTGGCGCTTGTGTTGCATTTCCTTTAATTTGTTCACAAAATGTGGATTGCTAGCAACGTAAGCATAGTAGAGAAACATGATTTATTGTTCGTTGAGTGTGCAGGGGTCACAAATGTTGAAGTTGTTTTATGTCAGTCTCCGGCTGTCAAGAATCTGTTTTACCTGCATCATTGGCATTAGAACATGGAAATTGTGTGTAGAACGTTTGAGCTTACGAAGGTAAGTATGTGCCAGTTCGATTCTATCTAAGCTTGTTTGTGTTGAACATTTGCTTTTCTTTTGTTTATTATATCATCTGTGCAACGTTTGTTAATAATTAATGCGTCAGTAATTTTTTACGAAAAGAAATTTTTTTTTTCATTCATCGTACGACAACTTTTTATTTTCATACACACTCAAAAACTTTAAAAATAAAACATAATTTTTTTTCAAAGCAAGAAAGTATCGTAAAAAATAGGAATAAAAAATGTAATAAAAATCTCAACGAGACATGATATAGAAGAAAAAATTTCTTATTCGGCAGAAAATGTTGAAAGATGAATGATGAAGAACTACCCAAGTAGAAACACATACAAACACATAAGAAGTTTATCTTGAATAAACAAAACAAGGTGCTAGAAATAAAAACAACGTGCTCCACTTTTAAAATTTAGATAGGTAGAAAAATATAGAAACCAAAATTGTAGAACAAAATGGTGTACATTCATGTCGTAGCAAGGAAGACTCTCACTCTTGTGTTTGATGTGTTTTAATGTAACGAGCTTCTACAAAGATGTACGTATTAGAATTTGCATACCTACATTAACTTAATACGTGAACTCAAATACCATAGGGCTAGAACCGTACCATAGATATGACAGTAACAAAAAAAATGAATACGAAGGGTTCGTCTACAATCTCAACTGCGTGGTCTTCGTTTTGATAAATCTCTATACACCGCATCTATACTGCTGTTATCTTGGCGTCGTAAAGAATATTTAGGATCTTTATTTTTATTTCTCTTGTTAATGATTTTTTTAAATTTTGTTTTTCCATTCGTTATATTTGTGTTCATAGTAATGTTTTGTATATCGTGCCTACTTGTGAACGCCAGTAGGTAGATAAGCACGCATATAAACATTTGATTGTTTTTTTTGTTTATTTATTTGCATATGCATGTGTGTTTGTTTGTTTTCAGGCATCTGTATATATATATATATACTCAAGTTTGTGTTTCTAAAATGTTTATATTATAACGCATGTCCACGTGTTGCTTGTGTGCATATTATTTATGGTTTCTGAAGACATCCTTCAGTCCAATCGCTCCTATATGTGCAGTTATTTATGCATAAACTTAATTTAAAATAACGTCTTCACACACTCACATCTGAATTATTCAATGCACATTTATAAATGAATGTGACAAAACAAATATATAAATAAATAAAGAAATATATGTATGTATATATATATATATATATATATATATATATATATATATATATATATATATACGTGTATGTGAGTGTTAGTAAGTATGTGCTTGCGTGTGTGTGTGTTAAATGACTTGGTCACACAGGCATGCATGCGTAGAACGTTCAGGCGACGTTCAAGGCAACGAAAACGTTAACATGAAGTTATGAAGACTCGGGAGCATGCACTACTGCGTGTACAAACGCCACGTTGTACGTTGTTTGTATGCTTGTTCCATGTGAAGTTGATCTAACCCGATACAGGCATAAGTTCTGTGTACTAACATACGCACTAACACGCATTTGTTAATTGTTTACGTAATTGCTGTAATTTTTAAAATAAGTTATTCGTATAGATAACTATGTAATACCATCTAAAGTTTAAATAAACCCTGTGCAAAGAAGGCTTATATAGATAACACATGCAATTCATTAAAACACACAAACACACACACACACACACACACACACACATGCTTGCACATTCACACACAGCAATTCACAGATATTATCAGTACATCTGAAATAGAAGCAATAAATACAAATAGATAGGAATGAACCACTTGTTCATTTATGACTCCACCATGTCCTCAACTCCAAGCAACAAATGAACGAGAGGAATGTGGTTTTTAAAGTATCCATACTTGTTATATTATTTGGTTACGTTGTTTCTAATAAAAATGAAAAATAAATTTGAAACACTAAGCTCCAAACAAGATTCAACGAGCCAAACATTTTTATTTATATTTTCTTTTAACTCGCAAATTTTAAATTAATTTATTCATTAGTCCATTAATAAATAAATAAATAAATAAGTTAATTAATTAATCCATTCATTCATTCAAGCATGAATTTAATTTATTTGTTTATTCATTCATCCCTCTGATATATTTCTTCATTCATACAATCATCTCCATTTTTCAAGCTCACAAAAAGGACAACGAAAAACATTCTTGATTTTAAGATTTTAACTCTTAACGTTAAAACTGAACGCAACGCTTCAGTATTGCGGAATTTTGCTCGAGGTGTGTTTCAAGTTTTAATAAAAAATTATTTTTCTGTCATGTTAGGAGCAAAGTTTAATATTTTCAAACAAAAAGAAGTTAACTAAAAAATATTTAAAAAGTATCTATTGAAAAATTTTTTTATCTGTGCGAGTCTTGGCGAGCATTTTATTTAACGCTGAGAAGCTTGAACGCATGTATGGCACGATGTTACTTTGTAGGTTGTCGAACGACTCGTGCGCTAATGTTAACCAGCTTCCGATGCTGCTAGCAACTAATAGTTTAAAATATAATTTCACTCGATAGGTGTTTTTATTGAACCTTTATAAAATAACTAAATATTATAATTAAATAACATTAATAACTAATTTATAACTAATAATGAAATTAAAATAAATAATAAAACTAATAAATTTTATAATTATTTTTAGTAATTTAAAACACCTTAGAATATAATATTAATATGCCATGTAACAAATTGTTTACCACGATGTTATATTATAATTGGCAGAAGCATTTGATCTTTTTGGTCTTGTTTGAAGGCTTCTTGGTAAAGAGTTTAATTGAATGATTTGTTGAACAATAGTCTGATTGATAATTTATTTATTGATTTTTGAACGGCTTCCCGCGTTTTTTCTAACAATTTTAATAATGATATCTAACTCTAGAAGTGCCAGCATTAAGTAGCACTAATTTTACCATTGGTGCCTGTTAGACCCCATTAATTTTTGCATTAAATATATCGTCCCGAAAAATGTATGTTTGTTCATTTTAACAAACGCAATTATGCAAGAGATTCAACTGTTGTTTAGTGGCAAACTAGCAAAAATATTTCCACCGTGACATTTTTCTCCGTTCATTGCAAATTATGCACCAAGCCAGAGCAACTCTAGAAGCTCTATTTTATTTTCTCACATCTCTTTAGTTATATCATAAATATATATTTGCTGTTTTCCAGCAATAATTGGAGTTACTATTATAAATAACCCGAAATTTAATGCCATCTTACCTTAGTTTAGAGGGTTATTATTGCCAAAATGGACACTTACCACTGATTGCTACCAACTGCTTTCCTATAGTCACACAACCCTAAACCGTATGCCTTTTTTTCATTGTCATCAAAGGAATGATGAGCCGTATCCATTTCCTAAACCTTCATCATCACTTCATCACTTTATCTCTCAACATGTTTATGATAACAAAAATTTCGAAATATTGTTATAAAACTTGTTAAAATATTCACGACAAAACGACAACAAATTATATAAAGAATAACAGAAAAATATATAAAACTCTCGTAGCAGAGCAATTAACTTTTGGACATTGGTAATTGGTGCAATTTAATTTTTGCGAATTTTTAACATAATTCACAGAGATACATTGTTTCAAACACTATGATGGAGTCCAATATGCCATCATGGTCATTCTAGGCTTAATATTAGTGTTTTTTCTTCAGCCTTGAATTTAAAACAAAATGCAAAACTAGATGGAAAGTTTTGAGTTTTAATTCATGTTTGTACCTGCCTGGTCATTAAGCCAGTTCCAGTTATTTTGATTTTTTTTATATGGAGTGCTGCTATCTTTTCAACAGTTCAATCTCATTTTTAAAAACTATGAAATTAATCCTATATGTTTATTTTAGTGAAAAATTCTATTTATTGGATTCACTGGACAAATTCATTGCAACTGTAGATTTCCATCAAACAATCTACATTATTAAGACATACAAATATTTATCAAGCGTGTTTCAAAAACTTTTAAATTCATTATTAATAATAACTTATGAGTCACTCAGTGGTTGGGTGTATATTAAAAACAAACCTGCTATCAAAACGTCGGCAGGCTTACCAAATGAACAAAATTAGAAAATAAATTTTATTTTTTACGTTCTGTTACAGTCCTCGGCGGATGACCAGTCTTGAACAAAGAACTATAATACAAATAATGTTATTGAATAACAATCACTGAACGCCGCGTTATGAAATTAAGCTTGTTTTTAATCATCACGTGATCACTCACCTATCCACTCGTGTTTCGGTCTTCCATAGCGGAAGTAGATCCTGGTGATATACAAGATGTGTCTCCGATATAGGTCAAGAAAGTAGGTCACGTTTGGGTCAACTTCCGGCTTCTTTCCAGACACGTGGTACGCTAATTTTAGAGGCACTGTTTCGATGGTGATGATTTCTCCTGCGTGGGAATGATGGCATACTGATGGACGAGTAGTGATTTTGCTTGAGTAGGTGCTTAAAATTTGTACACCTCAACAACAAAATTAAATCGATTTTATGAGAAGAGTTTCAATTTTAATCGTGTTGGACAGCACGTTCAACCGGGCGGTCGCTCGCTCAATGTGAGGCGGAGGCCTGGTGCAATAGTTAAACGCGTTCGAAAGCAAGAAGGATCTCCGCCTATCACATGCAGTTTGTGTGATGCGTCAATCCACACGCATTTTCATTGACGTGCCTGTTAATTTAAATCTTTAAAAAAATAAACGACTTAATTATGACGCACAATTGAACAATCACTCACCTTCTAGAGGGTTTCCTGCGAAGTATGTTTGCACGGCTTCGTACGTTTGTTCGATACCTTCGTACACCGGGTACTTGCCTGCCCAATCGATGCATCGAGGTATTATATTCATGTAGCCTGGCGAATTGTGGAGTTGTTTGTGCGTCTTTGTCAATGTATTAATAGTTTCGTTTTAATTTTGTAGAAATTTAATGTTTTGTTTATTGTTTTTATTTCATTTCAAAAAAAATTGAAGTTAATTTCTATTGTGAACACAAAACAATACCGTCAACAATAACATTATATCTGACTTTGTAAAATATTGTTTATATACTTATCATAAAATTTGGTATTTGACGAATGAGTGTTGAACGAGGTTGTTCCTTCATCATCATCATCTCTGTTATCGTCATCACATTTTTTAATCACTACGTACAACTAATGTCAGGGCAAATATTGTACGCAAACAAGAGCATGCGGGACGTGAACACACAAATATGAACCATTACAAAACATACCTGCCCGTGCATTCAATGTTTGACCCGATACACGCAAACAACCTTTCAAAACGGAATACAAACACTAATTCAATTAGACACATTTCCCATTTCATCCATCCAAATGTATACTAACCATGCATGTATGTGGTGTGTGCACGTGTAAGCATCTATGTGTGCGTTTGAATGTATGCGTGTATGTGTGTGCGTATGTTAGCATTTCTGTGGGTGCCTGTGTATAAATGTGTGTGTGTATGTGCATTTGCGTCGAGGTCCCACCAAGCACCGACAAAAAACTATCGACATCCGATTATGCTCTACTGAATGAAATCCAAAGACAACTGCTCTCTATAGAAATAGTTTATATTTGGAAGGTGAGCGCACAATATCCAACACGTGATCAACTTGCACTCAAGACGACCAGCTCCGAGTTACAGACCAAACGATCTCTTACATATTTAACTGCTGAATAATTGATTCCGAAAATTATAATTTCCTGAGGATAAAATGAACGTTGAAAAAGTAATTTCATCATTTTTTGAAAGATTTTGGCTGTCGTTGAATATTTTGAATATTTTATAGACATCTGGTCATGTTTGTGGGCACGGTGGAGTGTTAGGGTTAGGTACTGGCTTCGTATAAACAAGCAAGAACGAACGTCATGCGTGGTTCTCCGGCTCCGAGATCTCCTTAGCTAGTTTCACTTGGCTATGCGTTGATGAATTCATGAATTATTATCACGTTTACAAGATGCAAAATAAATATCGTTTAGATATCGACTCGATGCAGCACGTAAATGTAAGAATGGCTGACGTAAGTAACAAAATTAGAGCGATGAAATAAATGATGATATATACGATAGAATATAAACGATGAAATGATGTTGGTGATGATGAAACTAGTGGAGACATTTGTGAGAGATGAAGAGGCAAGAAACGAAGCAACTGACCAACCAAGCCAGCTAGCCAGCAACGAAGGCATTAATCAAATAGAAAATCTTCAACACCACCACTAACACCACCACCACTAACACCATCGTCACAACAACAACAACCAACAACAACACATTCTAAATCAACGCTAACATTCTTACAAGCAAGCAATGCATACAAATGCTCATATTATTGTACGCATGAACATTTGCATGAGCGTTAACATTGGCATAAACATTATCATAAAAATTAATATAAACATAAACGTTATAAAAGCACATTAACATAACATTAGCATTGATGAATATAATATTAAAAGTTCTCAGTAAAGAATATGCCTAATTATTACCTAATTCAAACTTAATCATCCGAGGCAAAGAAGTTAATGACGACACGACGAAGTCACCCACATGAGCAGAACTACGAGTGATTATTACAGAGGCCGCAGCATTTCATTCATTTGCCACGTTGAATCAAATATTTGAAACAAATTGTGAATAAAAATAACTGACAAACAATTTGGGATAGACCTCCAGCACATTTGTGCATTATTAAATATTTATTCATTTATACTATCACTTGAGTTAAATAAGCTCGACACGCTTCACTCATACGAATATCAACTCATTCTTGCATTATGATAAAACATAAAATTTGCTCAATTATTTTTCAAAATAGGATGATAATAAGTTTGTGCGGTGTGAGAGATATTCACGAAATTGAAAGATTTTCAAATGTTCCAGACGACCTCCGAGAACTTCGTTTATCTCTGAATTTCAGACCGCCAAATCAATCCAACTTTTTAGTTCCACATTCGTTTCACTGGATAATTAAATATTTTTATTAATTTTCCTACTGCATGGTAACCACGGAATGAAGTTGAGACTCATGCCAAACAACAACAAGAACTCTGTAGGTGGTTCACATTTCATTTGTGAATCTACAGGGGAGAGATTTATTATTGAAATTACCTAACTAATCGAAAAGCCGAACCATTCTGCTTGAATATATGTCTTGAAAACATTCAACGTGGCTCGCTATAAAACAACAAACATTCAGACAAACATCACGAGACACACAAAACTAATACGAGTAATGTGTAAATAAAAACACGTTTACACACCACACACACACAAACACACACACACACACAAACACACACACACACATATATATATATCAAATAGAACTAATATATATATATATATATATATATATACACAAAACACACGCATACTCACACACGCGCAATTTATCTTGAAGAATGAGTGATTGATGGGTAGGTTGTGCGTGAATGAATGAAGATGTTTGAAACATTCAATGAGATTTATATTGTAACCTATTGTTATAGTTGAGCTGTTGAAATCATAGTCTTGCTGATGTTGCAGTTGTCGTTGTTGCTGCTGTTGTTGTTGTTGATGTTGTTGTAGCTGTTGTTGTTGTTGATGATGATGATGTTGATGATGTTGTTGTTGCTGTTGATGTTGCTGTTGTTGTTGTTGTTGATGTTGTTGTTGTTGCTGTTGTTGATGATGCTGTTGTTGATGTTGTTGTTGTTGCTGTTGTTGATGATGCTGTTGTTGATGTTGTTGTTGATGTTTCTGTTGTTGAGTTTTGTTGTTGTCTGACGTCTCAACCGATTCGTTTCCGTGACTACTGCTGTTTGCTTTGATGTCTTTCGTGTACCATAATCTGGTGATTGAAAGTGATGTTGTTGTTGATAATGGCAAAACAGATGAAATACTATGAGCAAAATGATTCCGAATTTATACGAAAAAAGTTTATGACGATAAAAATAATGATGATGACTTTATCAAAAATAACATTAACAACAACAACAACAACAAAAACAAAACACCACCTCCACCACCACCACCACTAACAACAACAAAAAAAATAATAATAATAACAAAAATAATAATAATGGAAACTCTTTGTTCTTTCTGAATTAATTATCAACATATTTAGAAATGAATATAGTCTACGATGCTCATCATACAATGAAAATCAAGAAAAAAAATAAAATCAGTTCAGTGGAAAAAAATGCAAAATTACGGTAAAATCGAGTTATAAAAATATCTACATGTTCAGCATAATTTTCCGAGTGTTTTAGAGTGTTCTAGATGGTTCTAGATTATTCTGGAGTGTTCAAAAGGGTTCAAAATTGCACTAGAATGTTCTAAATTGTTCTAGTTTGTTTTAGATTATTCAAGAGTGTTTTAAAAATGTTTTAAAGTGCTCTAGATTGTTCAAAAATGTTCTAGATTGCTCTAGTGTATTCTAAGTTGTTCCAAAGTGTTTGAAATGGTTGAACATTGCTCTAGAGTGTTCTAGATTGTTCTAGAATTTTCTAAATTGTTCTAGTTTGTTTTAGATTAATCAAGAGTGTTTTAGAATGTTTTAAAGTGTTCTAGATTGTTCTAGAGTTTTCTAGATTGTTCTAGATTATTCTAAAGTGTTTTAGATTGTGTGTTCTAGATGGTCCTAGATTATTCTAGAGCGTTCTAAATTGTTCAAGAATGTTTCTTCTAGACTGTTCTTGAGTGTTCTCGATTTTCTGGTATCACAGGCAAAAAACAGCCTAAATATGCAATTTCATTTTATTGCCTGGAATTACTGTTTTAGAATGTTTTGAGTGTTCTAGATTGTTTTGAGTGTTCTAGAGTGTCCAAATTGTTCTAGAATGTCCTTAGTATTCTAGAGAGTTTTACATTGTTCTAGAGCGTTCTAAAATGCTTTAAATTGTTCTAGATGGTTCTAGATTGCCATATAGTGTTTTAAATTGTACTAGATTGTTCTAGATCATTCTATAGAGTTCAAAAATTTTCTAGAGTGTTTTAGAGTGTTCTAGATGGTTCTAGATTATTCTATAGTGTTTCAAAAGGTTCAAAAGTGCACTAAAATGTTCTAGATTGTTCTAGAGTGTTCTAAATTGTTCTAGTTTGTTTTAGATTATTCAAGAGTGTTTTAGAATGTTTCAAAGTGTTCTAGATTGTTTTATAGTGTTATAGATTGTTCTAGATTATTTTTGAGTGTTCAAGAATGTTTTAGATTGTTCTAGTGATGTAGTGTGTTATAGAGTGTTTTAAATTGTACTAGATTGTTCTAGATTATTTCCTATAGAGTTCAAAATTTTTTAGTGTTTTTAGAGTGTTCTAGATGGTTCTAGAATATTCTAAATTTTTAAAAGGGCTCAAAATTGCTCTAGAGTGTTCTAGATTGTTCCGGAGTGTCCTAAATTATTCTAGTTTGTTTAAAATTATTCAAGAGCGTTTGAGAATATTTTAAAGTGTTCTAGTTGTTTTAGAGTGTTCTAGAGTGTTCTAGATTATTCTAAAGTATTCAAGAACGTTCTAGATTGCTCTAGTGTATTCTAGATTGTTCTAGAGTGTTTAAAATGGTTGAACATTGCACAAGAGTGTTTTAGACTGTTCTAGAGTGTCTTAAATTGTTCTAGTTTTCTTTAGACTATTCAAGAATGTTTTAGAATGTTTAAAAGTATTTTAGATTGTTTTAGAGTGTTCTAGATTGTTCTAGATTATTTTAGGGTGTTTAAGGATTTTCTAGATTGTTCTAGGGTGTTCTAGAATGTTGTAGAGTGTTTAAATTGGTTCAAGATTGCTCTAGAGCGTTATAAATTTTTTTTTTTTTTTTTTTATTCTTTAAAAATCAGGATCTAACAGACGCAGAAACTGTAATTTTTCTAGAGTTTTCTAAATCGTTCTAGTTTGTTTTAGATTTTCAAGAGTGTTTTAGAATGTTTTAAAGTGTTCTAGATTGTTCTAGATTATTCTAGAGCGTTCTAAATTGTTCAAGATTGTTTTTGAATTTTGTAGATTGCTCTTTAGTGTTCTAAATTTTTTGGTATCACAGGCAAAAAAAAAACAGCCAAAAAATGCAATTTTATTTTATTGCTTGGAATTACTGTTTAAGGGTAACCAGAAAAAAAGCATTCAGGAAAAAATGTCTTCAGAAAAAATATCTTCAGTCAAAATATCTTCAGTCAAAAAGGTCTTCCAGAAAAAAAGTCTTCAAGAAAAAAAGTCTTCCAGAAAAAACGTCTTCAGGAAAAAAAGTCTTCCAGAAAAAAATCCAACGATACTATTTTATTTTTAAAATATTCATACATACAAAAATGAATTTACATTTTTACATAAAAAATTTGTTACAATAAAAATTAATAAAAATCATAATAACTTTATTATGTTCTTTGTGTAATAATATTATCTGAGAGGTTTATTGGAATGGATTATAGGGTTGTTAAAGTGTTACAGCATGTGCCAAAAACGGTTCTAGGACAATTACCCCCCGGACAAATACCCCCCTGACAATTACCCCTCGGACAATTACCCCCCGGACAAATACCCCCCACGCAAATAACTCCCCGGACAAAAAACTCCCCGGACAATTATCTCCCGGATAAAAAACCCCCCAAACAATATACCCCCGGACAAATACCCCTCCCCCCACGCAAATAACCGCCCGGACAAATACCCCCAAAACAAAATACCCCCAGGACAATTACTCCCCGGACAATTTTTGTTTTCAAATTATGATTTATATTATTATTATTAATATTAACAGACAATACGAGACGAGATAGAATGCAATTACTTATTAATTTATAATTATTGTAATGATCATCAGATACACTTTTAAATACAGACAGCCAAAAAACACAAATCGTTGATGATAAAGAATTAAACATTACGCAAAAGACCATAAACATATAACTAAGTAAATTGGTTCTCAAGCTTTCTAGCGCAAATTGGCATGTAAATTTAGAACAATTAATGATGATTGATGATGAGAAAGCAATTCGCATGCATTTATTCAATAGTGTAATTTAAATTTAAAAAAAAATAGAATTTTATTTCAAGGTTTCTTTGTGTATTAATATCATATAAAAAGTTTATTGGCATGGACTTTAAAGTTGTAAAAATTTTAATCGTTATTTTATTCTGTTACTATGGAAATTATTGAAAATAATAAAGGAGGTCAGAAGTTGTGATGTGTTTGGAAGGGTATATGTATACAAAAAAATTGAGTAGAGGAGCAACGATTCGTTGGCAATGCTCTAGAAAAACATTTTTCAACTGTTTAGGAGCAATTTCAACAAACATTGAGGTAAATAATCAATATATCTTTTTATTTGTTAATCTGATATATAAATATAAATTCATTTCAATATATATATATATATTGTCTTTACTAAATTATATAATTAGATTACTGAAATAAAGTGTCAGAAAGAACACAACCATGTTTCAGAACCCGAAGAAATTGCAAAAGCGAAGGTTTTGAATGAAATGAAAAAGACTGCTATACTATCTTCTTCGGCCAAACCGAGCCAAATATATGCAGATGCTTTATCGGGGTTAGATGAAGAAGACAGAGCAAATGTAGGCCATAAAGATCACGTGACAAAAACAATTAGAAACTAACGCCGCAAAAATATTCCAATTGAACCATCCAATACAGAATTCGAAATACCAAAAGCTTGGCAGATGAGAGAAGGCAACGAAAATGTCATCATCTACGACAGTGGAGCCAATCCATTCAACCGGATAATTGTTTTTTCGACATTCGTACAATTACAACAAATGGGAAGAAGTACTAGGTAGTTACATTTTATTTATTTAGGAAGAATGCGGCTTATTAAATTAATTAGTTACTTCGAAATTGAAGTTCCATCTGTAATTAAACCACTTCGCTTATTTTTGATATATATTAACTATTATATATTTGCAGATGGTTTATGGATGGTAATTTTAGCTTGTCTCCAAATATTTTTCACCAACTGTACTTTATTAGAGTTGCCTATCTTAACCATTATGTAACATGCGCCTATGCCCTAATGACATCAAGAAATCAGGCGTCATATGAAGAAGTTTTTAGGGCAATTAAAGATAAGGCGCAAGAACACAACATAATTTTGGCTCCAACCACTGTTATGTTAGACTTCGAAATTGCCCCCAGACGTGCCTTACATGATATCTTCGGTGCAAACGTAGAAGTTGTAGGATGTTTTTTCCATTTGACACAGTCAACATGGAGAAAGGTATAGTTGCATGCTTTGTTAACTATTTTTAATCAATTGTCATTTTGCCTGTTT